ACTTACTTACATATAGAATAGGAACTTAAAATAATTTGATAAAAAATAATATACAGAACCGATCAAAAGATACAGGTAAACAACCGCATGATTAAGTAGACACGTAATAGAAAATTTTGAAGGAGAATTAGACAGACATCAAGGCTAAAGAATCAGAAAGACAGATAGTTGGATAATTATTCTTGCCATGTCCCACCAAATGAGAACAGGGTTACTAGACTTAGAGTAAGTACAGCAAATGAAGAGAACAATGGAAGCTATTTAAAAAAATAAAATAAATTAATTGCGTTAAAGCAACTACAGTACGTTCTGTTTTGATCACGTTTATATATCTACTGATTCTATACCAAGGTTCTTACATGCTCAAGAATATAAGATTTTTCTGGATGTTTCTTTCTGTCTTAAGTATCCACAGAGGAATTATTAACAACTAATATCCACCAATAAATACTATCAAAGTCAGTACTTCGTTTGTATTACTTCTAACTACCTTTTTTTAAAATTCGATTTTACTGTTCTTGCCACTGCTTTTTATTCTGTTGTTTTTCGATAACTGGTCTCTTATCGATTAGGATTGTTTGCTAATTTCATAATTGTAGAAAATATGACATACACAAAGTGATAAAATATATTAACTCTAATTTAACAGTGTGATTATAGAAGTATATTACCTTACCTTGCGCCTTCTTTTGATTTTATGCGTGTGCAAGAAATGTGTTTGTCCTTCATAAAGTTTTTAAAATGTTTTCTGTATTTAGGAACATCGTTATAATGTAAACTGACTAATCGTACTCTACTTCAAAATAAAGGACTGGCGGTTGGGTTTATATGCGCATAATTCTCTAACACCGTGCGTTTAGAAACTACTCTTCGGATTTCTAGCTAATGTAGCACTATTTATTAGAGTTCTCACACGAGAATTACACTGGGAAATGCTTGCGGGGGAGGTAGTTTGATACACTTATAACAACTGTATACTTGTCAGACATTACTCACGATTAATATTAGTTTAGATGATTCCCAAGGCAAGATAAGTGGTCAATATTTTTAGGCTAAAATTGCTTGGCTATAGGATAGTAAGTGAGGACTTAAGATTTGTATGGAAGAAATCAAGTTTCCAAAAACCACTCAACGGATTTGGAAATATTTGTAGAGCTACAACAGCCATTAGTTATTCTTCAGAGTTTCTATTTTTTTTACAAAAAACGTAATTTGATAAAAGCTTACATTCAGTAATATGTTACGTTATGCTATTATCAAGTAATATCCAGTTTCAAAGCCTTGTGATATCACCTTTAATTCTTGTCATTGGAAATTCTTTGAAATATAATCATATTTTAAGAAGTTATAATTTATGTCATTATTTTCTAGTTCCTTTATATATTGCTGAATATTAGCTTACATAAGGTGAAATCAAATGGTAGTTTTATATTACTGGCCTTCAAGTATTAAAAAAAAATCTGTTCGGGTTATTAAACAGATTAATTTGATTTTACTTGTCAGTTCTGGATCTCATATTCACTTTAGAAACAACCATTTAATTAATTGATTTGTTATAAAAGAAATGTAAGTATTTCCGATGTATTATATTAACATTTTGTTCTCCAATCAATGACACAGCGGTATGTCTTCGGACTTACTACCCTAGAAACCGGGTTTCGATACTCGTGGTGGGCAGAGCACAGATAGCCCATTGTGTAGCTTTGTGCTTAACTACAAACAAAGAAACCAATCAGTGAAGAGGTATATTAGTTTTGTTATTTTTGTGCTAAATTCAATTAAAAATCAAGATTTGTATTTTGATAGATAAGAAATATTCACCTTGTATGCTGAATAATACTTTGATTTTCCGTATGAGTAATCTGAAAATCTGATTGAAAGATCACATATAATACGAATACATTTTAAACATTTGATATTTTTTGTGTAATCATCTTAGTTGTATTATTTAAAGACATTAAACTTTCCTTTGATGTACTGCGATAAATTTATACTTTTAAGTTTTATTTAACAGAAGCTAACAGATAATACATTGACGTGGTTTTAGAACCAATATGCAATCGGACCACACTTCAATTTTCTACGCATCTTACTTAGTGTTTTTTTATTATTAGTAATCCTGGAGTTGCACGAAACAAGTCTCCTTTTTTGAAAAAAAAAATATGTATTTTTTGTGTATTTGATTAGTTGACTTGAATTTCACTAAGTGAAAAAAATACCATAATAAATTTTGCTGTTTTACTCTTACCTTCTGAATAATTTTTTCGTTTGCAGAAATGATTTTCAGTGCTCTAAGGTTATATAATTTCTTCTTTATGTAGAAATTATTTAAATAACTCAGCTAGTCAGAAATTCTTCACAAGATTACAAAATGTGTAAGCAGATTGTAGGAACACTAGCTGATGTATTCGTTCACGATCAGGGGGTCAGATCCAAATACTGATCTTTATAAGTTTGGTGACAATCGGTCCACCGATTTGACAGTCATAAACATTAACAGACACACACACATACAGACTTTTGTCAACTAACGATTTAGGATAACACAGAACACTTGAAGATTGAGGTTTGGCAACTGGCAAGAGATAACTTCACATCTGTGTTCTTGTCTAGATATATGTTGAAAGTTGAGGGTTTCACATATAGGTAATTTCTTATCTCTGTTCTTATTTAGAAATATGGGGAGGATTGAGGGTTTGACAACTGATATAGATAAGTAACTTTTTATCTTTCTTCTTGTCTCGACATACGTTGAGGGTTTGACAAGTGGTATAGACAGGAATTATTCATCTTTGTATTATTCAGAACATTCCAGTTCACTCAGTACATACATCATTCCCAGATGTTATCAAAAAATTCTCAATATTAAAAATTACAAGTCCTGTACTGCTCAGATTTTATAGTATGCTATACAGTACCGGCTAAATGACGGGAAGAACAAATCGTTTCTAAATTCACCAGAAGAAACCGTCTAATGTTCTTGCTTGAACTCACATTCTATTTCATTACTATAAGATGCATTTATTCATATCAGTAAAACGTATGTTCATCTTGACCAGAAAATACATCAAATACAGGAAGTAGCTACTGAACAGATTTATGGGTGACATTTTCCCGACCAAAAGAATTACGAAATTATGATTTCCTAAAAATTTTGATCACTAGAAGTAGTGGATCCTATGCGAATCACTGTATGTAGGTAAGATATATGTTGTTTAATCAGTTGATATGAATTACAGTTTTCTCTAGCTATAGTCTGTGATACAAGTAATGCTACATTTTCCATGGTACAAAATTCAATCATCAAACAATGTTCGACGTCAAACGAAAGTAAATAAATAAACGATTTATCAATATATATATAAATATATCATAAAATGCATTTGCTAATAAAGAAACTTCAATTATGCAAATATAACTGAAACATATTTTGATCACATTAATATCAGCATTGAAAACAAGCAGTGTTCAAAGTTATCTAATATTGATAATCTTATACGATAATAAGATTATTTAATCTTAGTTTCATGTTTAACTACTTATTCATTTTCATTCGTTGAATTATGGTAGTTTAAGCTCAATACAGTTAAGTTTGTATTTGCTCTGAGAGGCGGGCGGGGCCTAGTGGTTAGCGTGCTCTAGCTTTGTATCCAAAGTAAAAACGCGCTAGACATTTTAGGGCGGTGGGTGCGCTATAAGAGTTGTAGTCAAATCCCATTATTTGGTTAGATATGAGTAACGCAAGAGTGTTGCTCTCTTTAGTCAAAATTTGGGACAACCATGCGCAGATAGTCCTAAAACAAAGTATGAAGTACTTGCTCTGACTATACTTAGTAAAGCTTTCTCTATTTACTAAATGTTGAGTTCCATTTTCATTCCCAATATTTATATAATCTGTGTACAACTCAATGAACTAATACAATTTTTGAGGTTTTAAAATATCAATGTTTTTAGTTTAAAACAGGACATAACACATAAAATCACAACACTTCAAATACCTAGCGCTCAAGTATTTTCAGGTATTTTCACTTTTCGTAGCTGCTTTAACTATAGATACACGTTTATTTTTTTTAGGATATTATTCCTTTAATTACAGCACCACAACTACTACAATATTTGCGAGTTTTGTTTGTTTAGTTTTTTCGGTAAGACGTAATATATTAAAGTTGATAAAAGTATGTTTCCTTGGGAGTCACTTATTTAACAGATAAATCAAGACTGCGTATCACTTTATTTAATAGTGTTAGCTCTGCTTTTGATAATATATAAATCCACTCTGTGCATCAAACACTTACATCACTAAATCATATCACTTCTGAAATGTAAACTACCTGTATCAGAAATCTCTCTATATTTCGTTTTTAACACATTTCCCATAAGTTAATTTGGGGAAATAATCATATATGATTAGAAAATAACTTAAGGTCACTTTCTATACCGATCAGGTCCAAATTAATGTATAAATTCAATTATGTTTGGATACTAAAATAAATTTATTTTAGAATTTGTAAATTATTTCATACTAGTATGATTTGGATATCACGCAAAAATAGTTGTTTAACATAAAGTTAAATCCACAATAATTAGCTATTCTTTACGAGTATCTAACATAGACTAAATAATTGCATTTTTTGTGGGCAAAATACTTTAAACCCACATAAATCTATAATAACAACTAAGTAAGTTCATTATCTTTTTTTTGCCCATTCGTTTAGTTCTTGGTGAAGAAGTGTTGTGCTATCTAACATAACAATTTTAAAAAAATAACCTGACGAAATTAATGGTTATAAACTAATGATGAATATTTTGATGATGGTATATTGTGGTATAAACAACACCTTACCATGACTGTTAATGGTTGGAGATGGCTTGAATGGGTAATGAAGAAAAACTTTAATATAAGTTTAACATAACAGCAAATGTACAACGTTTCGACAAAGTTTTGTCATCATCAGGCACCTGTTATATTAAAGTTTTTCTTCATTACCCATTCAAGCCGTCTCCAACCATTATTAGTCTCTAAGTGGGTTCCTCGTCATCGAATTTGAAATTACCATGACTGTATATTCATGATAAGCTCTATTTGCCACTGATGTATATGACTTACATAGTGATAAAAAATTATCTTAGAAGGTTTGTCTTATAATTACTTTATAAGATTAGCGAAAAAATAACAAACTTTCCAAATATATTTTGTTCATAGTTAAGATAAGATAATTTTATGTTACTAAGTGTTCAAGTAATTCTAATTACTTTATTACCGATTCTTAATGAATTTATTCCTTATCAAAAACAGAAACTGTTGTTTAAAATATGCATATATCCTATCTTGAACATGTAATTAGTTGGTTATTGTTCAGTTAAAGAGAAAGTATTGAGGTTTACAATAAAAGAACAAACAATCAGATGTAATTTCATTTTATTGAAGCAAATGCTTTAACTACTAAGAATAATTGCTTAAGAGAAATGGAACTCCTTCGATGCCAGAAGTGACTACGCGAATTCTTCCTTTGATGCTAGAAGTGACTACGCGAATCACTTACTTCGATGCCAGAAGTGACTACGCGAATTCTTCCTTTGATGCTAGAAGTGACTACGCGAATCACTTCCTTCGATGCTAGAAGTGACTACGCGAATCACTTCCTTCGATGCTAGAAGTGACTACGCAAATTCTTCTTCCATTACCGTCGCTTTTTCAACAAACTCGACGGAGTTTGGCGGAGAAGATAGTTATGCAGGGTACCTTGCTACCTCGACAAATGATAATCATGAATAGCTTGCGTAATGCAGAGAATACCGTTTTACAGGGTACCTTGCTACCTTGACAAATGATAATCATGAATAGTTTGCGTAGTGCAAAGAATACCGTTTTACAGGTGCCCTGCTACCTTGACAAATGATAATCATGAATAGTTTGCGTAATGCAGAGAATACCGTTTTACAGGGTACCTTGCTACCTTGACAAATGATAATCATGAATAGTTTGCGTAATGCAGAGAATACCGTTTTACAGGATGCCCTGCTACCTTGACAAATGATAATCATTAGGAGTTTGAGTCGTGCAGAAAATAAAGTTTTACAGAATGTCCTGCTACTTTGATAAACGGTTATTGTGAAAAATTATGTGATATTTTAACGTTAGAGAAAGCATTCAGTTAAATTAACGATATTTTTCATTCATATGCTTAAAAAGTGTATAAAGCGATAGCAGAATGTATAATATAACAAAGAGAGACAGGAAATATCCTGTTTAGCTTGAACATAAATTATCTTCAACGGAAAGAGACATTTGGTGCTTACTATAAAAAGTAAAGTTTACTAATTTGATTTATTTTGAAAGTGAGAGAATAAGACTTTACTTGTGGAGTTTAGCTAATCGGTAACGTAAAACATATTTATTTAATACGTCTGACAAGGTAGGTTGCTAAGAGTTACACGTATTTTTCTTATCTATCTAAGTTACAACAGTTTAAGTGTGTTAACTAATGTTTCGGGTCTTACATAGCATGAAAGTGTTGATAGATAGATTGAAATGAGCCAGCTGTTGTCGTTTCAAAAATGTCTATCGTAGTTATGTATAATCGCTTATCTTTTCTCAAAGTACCCTATTTCATACTTACGTTAAAGGCTGTACATTAACATGGCTATATTCTATCCACGTAAATACCTATTCACAAAATTTCACGAACTTTAGTTTACAATAGAACTTCTGTGGTATTTGAAACTGTAGTATCAAGTTTATCCGCATTTAAAAGCAACTCAGTGAACTTCCTCCATAATGGCGTCAAAGCTTTCCGTATAGATGTGTTAGAAAACTATTACAACATTTGGAATACGTTAAGACCCTAGATTGTGAAATAGAAATTGTTCAGATACACGTATGTTGATATCTTCACGGTTTCTTTGACGAAAGTTCTTTCAAAGTTTGAGTCTTTTCCTGGTCCTTTCCGTTCTGCTGGCAAGAGACATGCCTAGATCTCCGCCTGCTTATCTCTTCTTCCGGCGCTGACTGGGTCTTGCGGTGCAGGGGTGGAGCGCTAGGCCTAGCTGTCTGCATAAGTATGCACGATGGCGGGTCACGTGCTCGATGTTGACCAGGCAGTGAAGAACGGCCTGTCAGGCAACTGGTGACACACTTGGCTTTTCTGGCAAGAGATCGTGGAGCACTTAGCCAAATTAAACCACGGAGGTGACTTGGTTCTGGGGACAAAATACCTTCATCCTTCCCGACAAGACGGCACGTCGACACTCGCGCATATCTGCGGCGAAAGGACGGGCAGTGGCCGGCATGTCCACCATGGTCCGTGCGGCTGCAGTTACCGACGCTACCACGCCAAATCCAGACGTTCTACTGGCCCTACTCTCTCGGAACAAGGCTTTAGAAGGTTTGCCAATTCCAATTTCCTCTCATTCGGTTTTTAATTAACTTTTCCCACCATTTTTCGTGAGAACAGATCTGTTCCGCGAGGGCTCGCAGCAGCCCTAGCTCGTGCCCCGCCAACAGCCACTCAACCAAATTGGAAACGCTTATTACGGGCAGGCTGATCAAATTAGCGATCTATTGGAGGCATGTCCGGATATTAAAGTACGCCAGCAATGATGGAATGACGACACGATTGTTCCTATGCACTACAATTACGGCAAATTGTAAACACCCGCCTTCTGTATTTCATATTATGAAACCTACATGAAGCGCGTCGCGTCTGATATTCAATTTTCTTGAGAAACGGCCGCCTCGCCCTTATTTGTCCTGCAGCGCCCAGAATTAGTTCTTTTCATTCAGAAGTGAGATTGGAAAGTAAGAAAGCAGTCATGTTACTTACGTCGTCACAGGCGTGCTCTCTCTTTGTAGTTAGCTATAAGTGTATTCAGAACTCTCTACATTTGTGGAGATCTAATACGGACTAATATGAACAACTAAACCAGATTGTTACTTCTTTTCTATAGAAAAAGAGACAACAAGAGTTAGCGCTGGCGCTACCTTAAGGTAAATATTGGGTTCCCCTTTTATAACATTGTTTGGCTGGTGATTTCATATAAGTAATCCATATATATATATATACTAGCATATTTTCGTGTAAGTCATATATATATATACGAACATTTCTGATAATTAATGTGTGGCTGTTTACTTTTAGCTACACGAACCTGCCATGAAAGCACGGTACTTTAAGTTTATCTAGACCATTAACGTTGATATTTATTAAACTGATTTGTAACAAACGTAAGATATGCCAGCCGAATTAATCTATATTTCGTTTGTATAGGATTTGTTCCTTTGGTTATTAGTTTGCGTTTTTATAGAACGAGAATAATATTAGTGTATATTTCCAGAAGCCGGCTGTAGAAACTAAGATATTATTTAAAAAAACTACATTCATTCAACATTCTTTGTAGAAAAACAGCCCTAACACGTTGTTATACAAATCAAGGGGTAGGAGTTCGTTTACAACGTTTGTATGTTTTGATATTTCCTGCTGTGTGTGTGTTCAGGATTTACCCTATAAAGTATTAAGCTTTGTTTCCGTTTCATCCAGGCAGAATCCTGCTAACAAAGGATAACCTCGGACTGTATTTTTGCAGCGTTAAGCTGACTATCCTTTATACTTCAGCTGGTAGTAATTTGTTTTAATGTATCTTACGTAAACACTTTTTTTACCGGTAGAAATATTTGTTAATCCACAAGCAATCAACATGATTTTAAAGTGCTTGAGATATTGTAGAATAAATTACGAGAGAACCCATACAATTAATGTAATGGGGAACTGTGAATAAGCAGTGTGCAGCAGTGCGTTTCATTCTGTGAAAAATACTGTAAGAACATGAATATACCTTTTCATCAGTGATATAAGATACGAATAAGGTTATGCTTCGATAAGACTGTGTTAAAGTTATTAACTAAAAGTCACGCTTTAATAAGAAAAGTTTGAGTTGAAAATATGATAGCTTAACATGTACTAAATTTTGAGTTAACGTTATGGTAACTTCACTAATTTGTACTCTGAGTTATTAAGGTAGTGAGCTAAGAATATGAACTTTTTTATTAATATTTATCGAGAGGTTTTTAGATTCCTGGATAGGGTTATGGTGTATATCTCTTATTATTATGGTCGTATAGAGTTAAAAGTTTGAGCTAATGTGGTAAAGCTCTTATTATTATGGTCCTGTAGAGTTAAGAGCGTGAGTTAATGTTGAATAACATTTATCATTATAGTCATATAAAATTAAGCGTTCCAACTAATGTTGTATAACTCTTATTATTATTCTCCTATAAAATTATGAGATTGAACTAATGTTGTATAACTTTTATAATTATGGTCCATAGAGTCAAGAGTTTGAGTTACTGTTATATAAATTTTATTTCTGGTCCTATAGAGTTAATAAATTTAGATATGGATATATATATATATATATATATCATTATTATGTACTTTACATTAGAGTTTAACCTAACACTGTATAATTCTTATTATTCTCTACCTTGTATTAACAGTTTTTGCTAAGAATATGAAGGTCTTACTATTCAGTAGATAATGGGTTAAAAATTTTAGTTAAGGATGTTAAGAATTTGAGTTAAGGATAAATAATTATTTTGGGTTAAAGGTTTCAGCTAAAATGCGATATATACAGTTTATCAAGATGTAGTTTGGTAACACAGTGTTCGATAAATTATTAAAGCCGCTTTCGTCTCTTTATATTGTTAAGTAATTGTTCATGATATAAAAAGACATTTACTTTTTTATTTTAATGTCAGAAAAAACATATCTAAAACTATGATCTTGTTCGACGTTTTACAGAAGCTGACATTACGTTTGGTTTTGATAAACTGAGTAGTGTATGCGAAAAGAAAGCTGTGATTAAGTTCTTCTTCGACATGTTTCAGCTACTGATCTGACAATGTATGTTTTGAACCGTGTTTTACTAAGCTATATACTGTTTGGGGAAAAACAACTATAAATAAGTTCCTGTTCGACGTGTTTTAGCAGCTGTTACGATAGTTTGTGTTTTGAACCGTGTTTTACTAAGCTATGTACTGTTTGGGGGAAAAGCAACTATAAATAAGTTCCTGTTCGACGTGTTTTAGCAGCTGTTACGATAGTTTGTGTTTTGAGGTTTGTTTTACTAAGCTATGTACTGTTTGGGGGAAAAAGCAACTATAAATAAGTTCCTGTTCGACATGTTTTAGCAGCTGTTACGATAGTTTGTGCTTTTGAGGTGTGTTTTACTAAGCTATGTACTGTTTGGGGAAAAACAACTATAAATAAGTTCCTGTTCGACATGTTTCAACTACTGGTACGATAGTTTGTGTTTCGAGGTGTATTTTACTAAGCTATATACTGTTTGGGAAAAGCAACTATAAATAAGTTCTTGTTCGACGTGTTTTAGCAGCCGTTACGATAGTTTGTGTTTTCAGGTGTATTTTACTAAGCTATGTACTGTTTGGGGAAAAACAACTATAAGTAAGTTCCTGTTCGACATCTTTCAGCTGCTGATATAACCGCGTATGTTAAGCAGAGTTATATAGTGTCTAGGGTAAAGCAGCTGCAGCTAAGATTGAATATATTGTTTTGAACACAAGATGCAGAAGAAAGAGTTTCACATATTCCCAATAATAGGATTGAAATATTATACAGACTTCACTTTAAATTTACCTTGTAAAATTTGTTTTCTTCTCTTTGAAAGTTAGATACAAGAACAGGAATAACGCGCTACGTTGTGACATTCGAACAGTAATGTATTTTTAAACATTAATAGTTTTATCTTGGAAATTAATACCGTGTCGTCTCATTTAATTTGGGTACTTATTTTCTTTTTTTAGTTTTCTTTTCTTTGGAAGTTAGATACAAGAACTGAAATAACGCGCTACGTTGTGACATTCGAACAGTAATGTATTTTTAAACATTAATAGTTTTATCTTGGAAATTAATACCGTGTCGCCTCATTTAATTTGGGTACTTATTTTGTGAACAGTAGTTTCCTTATGCGGATATATGTTATAAAGAAATCGTCTTGGTGCTTTCAACTCATAATGTTACAGATATCAGATACTTACTGTTGGTCAGCTTACAAGATGATATCACAGATATCAGATACTTACTGCTGGTCAGCTTACAAGATGATATCACAGATATCAGATACTTACTGTTGGTCAGCTCACAAGATGATATCACAGATATCAGATACTTACTGTTGGTCAGCTTACAAGATGATATCACAGATATCAGATACTTACTGTTGGTCAGCTTACAAGATCACGTTTTACGTGTGCAGGCGGCAAAATATTGGTGTTCTTTCATACTTTTTTATGTAGTGAAAATAAGCTAAGTGATTTTGGATATTTGAATTTAATCTGATATAAGACGAAGAATACAAAATAAGATGTGATCCACATGTTTAATGCAGAACTTATGATGTTTCGTTTGATAAAAAAATAAAATAAAGTTGAGTATTTCGTAAATTGTAGGAAATCTTTTCCCCAGTATGTGTTCAAATTAAGATATATTCTGCCAACTTCATGGTGTCCGTCGCTGGGATCTAACCCCAATTATCATGTTTTAAGCCCTTAAGCTTATCGCTGAACCATTGGGTGATTAAAGATACAAACTAAGATGTTTACTGTTACGTCAGTAACTTAAAGTCATCATAGACGAATGGAGCTGTCAAGCAGAGCACCGGATCTCAGATATGGACTTAGTTTTACTTCATTAGGATAGATAATGGTGCTTAAACTTCCTTAGCCGAGACTGTATCATTAATATAACATTTTAATATGTACTAAACAACCTAGCCCATAGGTTTGTGGATTTAAAGTTTCAGTGTTACATTACCTCATTAATATTACAGTTGCTGTATGTTTACCAAACCACACTGTTATTTTTAGAATAGCTTGCTACCGTTCTATTTGCATAGGTTTGTTTGTTCGTAATTAAGCACAAAGCTACATAATAGGCCATTTTGCTCTGCCCACCACGGGTATCGAAACCCGGTTTCTAGCGTTGTAAGTCTGCAGACATACCGCTGTGCTACTGGGGGGCATATTTGCATAGGAGTAAAAGTTTTTGTATTTTAAGCGTAACTCATTTAGTTTACACTTGTTGTCTTGATAAGCCTAGACTGATTCAGCTTTAAATCTGGCCGAACGTGGTCTAATAGTTAAAGTACGATTTGGGAGTCCATAGTTCGTGTTCCTTTACCTCCAAAAACAGCCAAAAAATGTTGTTGACTAGATTCCCATGTATCCTATCTGTTCAAAATTAGAGACGGTTAGAGTAGACAGATCTTTTGTTCAAGTGTTTCGAGTGTTCAAAAACAAACAGTTTAAATCTAAAAGTAAAATACACATATAATGCGTAAAAATGGCAGCACGCATTTTACTTATTTAATT